TCTAACCCCCTCATTTTACAGATGAGGAAACTGAGGCAGAGACAAAATAACTTGGCCTAGGGTCACACAAGCAATAAGTGTCTGAGGTGGGATTTGAACCCAGATCTTCCCGATCCCAAGTCAAGTGCCCTACTGATGATGATACAAAAATCTCTCTCAGGATTACTTAAAGTTTTATGTAGAAGACGGTACTTGTAATCACCAAGACTTCACCTCTCCCCTTCTCTAGAACTTAGCATACATGTCTCCAATATTATAACCAACAGCTGACTTCTCATTTCCAGGATCCAGTTTATCCTCTCTGGTGGTTAGGCCCCTCATTCCACAATATTCAGTAGTCCTTAGCTTCCCCCATCCCCAGGAAAAATCTCAAATTTTTGAGAGGCCCTGGAGCCAGAAGGACATAGGTTCCAAGTCTGTGGTCATCTCTGACCTAAAATGTCTTTGTGCCTCTGGACAAGGTACTTCATTTCTCAGCGCTCCAGATAACACACTAAAAACACCAGACACAGAGGAGATGGCAATCTGCATTGGTAGAGGGATTTTTCTCCCCAGGAGTTCCCTAGGCCAATGAAATCAAAATGTTACCTCCAGAAAACCCCTTGACATTTCTACAGCTCTAAGTCTGCGGTATATTTTACATATATTATCTCACTATATCCACAATAATGCTATTAGATAGGTACTACCGGCAACTGGCATTATTATCTCCATTGTAGAGCTATGGAAACTGAGACTCAGGAAAGTTAAGTGACTTGCCCCTGATCACACACACACACAGGACAGGCATATGAGGAACATAGGGGGTAGCAGAAAGCTGTGCAGGTTCACCAAGTGGGCACCAGCACTCTGCCATAGCCATACCAGCAGCATCCTCCAAAAGGAGGCTGGCATTTGGAAAGTGGACTGAGTCAGCAAATGTCCCCCCTTTGCCCCCTTTCTACAGGAGCACCATCAACACTGAACTGATTCCCAAGCCCAACCTAATCCCCTTCACACACTTCCTGCCCATGGGCCATGGGGCAATATGAATGACTGGAGAGTTGAAAAAGAGTAAAGTAAAAGGAGCTGGGATGAGTCAAGAGAGGAGAAAACTGAGTTTGGAACTCGACAATGGCCTTCAGGGAGTAGGGGGAGCCAGTGGAAAGTGCACCAGGCTGGGAGCCAAGAGACCAACGATCTAGCCTTGGCTCTGCCACTACCTTTCTGTGTGATCTTGGTCAAATAATTTCCCCTCTGGGTCTCACTTTTAGATGATCTCTAAGGTTCTTTCCACATCCAAATAAGTGACACCCAATTAAAAGAAATTGAAAAGCTTTTGCACAAATGAAATCAATGCAATTGGGATAGGAAGGAAAGCTGTTGATTGTCCCCCCTCCCCCATCTTCCCTTCAAATAGCTCCAATAAAGGTCTGAAATCCAAGATAAATAGAGAACTAACACAAATACATAAGACCAAGTCAATAAGGCAACCTTCTTTCCAGCAGAGACCTGATGAAAAGGAGATGAGTCTATTGAGGCAGGACAGATTAAGGTTTCACACAACTAAACAGTCTCTGATTTTGAGGACTGTTAGATGAAGAAGTGGGGTTGGACTCTCTTCCCATGAGTGTCTTGAAGAAGACCACAGATTCCCCTTTGCTTTGGATGTAATTTGGTTTAGATTTGGTAATCATCTTGGAAGGCAGGAGACTGGACTAGAAGACCTTTGGAGCTCCCATCAGCCCCAAAGGTTATATGGTTCTAGAATGAAACTCTTCAACACCAAGGGGTGAGAGTTACCCACGCTGCTGAGCCATCTGGGCTGGGTTCCACACTTGCCTGCTCTGCTCTCTGTTTGTCTGTTCTTTGGTCTGTTCTGATTCTGGCATCACAAGTGATGGTCATAAATTCCCTCCAGACAGAAGGTAGCCCAGAAGCAAGAGGACCTGCCCACTGGCAGGACAACCCTAGCAGTTCCTAGAGAACTCAGAACTTGGGTCTTTCCTCTGTTACTTTTGGGAAGGGGACAGGAAAGGTCCAACAAACATGGCCATCTCATTCCTCTAGTCAAAACACCTCCAGGGTCCAGCTCTGCATACAGAAGGTTTAATCAATGTTTGTTGAATTGTATTGTCATTAAACTGAACTTATTTTTCTAAGCTCTTTAATGTTTACCAAGTTCTTTCCTTGAAACAAGATAGAGGCAAAGGACAAGCACTTTTAGCCCTTTGGCCCATAAAGGGAAAGAGGGCAGAATTCCTGGTGAAGCCTAGTGACTTCAAGGCCCAGCCCTTGCCCCTTCCTCACACTGCTGCCCCCAAAGAGCCTGAGTTCCAACATGGCTTCTCCAACCTTCAGGAAACTTTGGAGGGTACCCAGGAGGCCTGTCAGCACAGTACGGCCTAACACACAGGTACATCTGCTGGAGTCTGAGGGCTGCTTAAAATATTCTTCCACTACCAGCCCTATATCTCCCTGACTGATGTCTAAAAGTCTACCCTTAGAGAGACTTGGCAGCTAAGAATTACACTTGCTCTTTTAAAATGTGACAGCCCTCGCACCTCTAGGGTAGAGGAGCACAGGAGGAACCCTAGTTACTTAATGTGAATGAGTTTATCAGGATTCCCTCCCTGTCCTGTTTAGAGCACCGTGCCCCAACACACTGCGTGCGCGCGCGCGCACACACACACACACACACACACACACACCAGAAAGGTCAGGCAAAGGGATCCTTTGGACCTGACCACTGGTCCTACTAGTTTGTCCTATTAACTATTAATGAGGATCGTGACCTGCAGCTAGCAGGGACTTCATTTTACAGAGGAAGAAACTGAGGTCAACAGACAGGCAGAGACTTACCCAGGATCACCCAAGGGCCCGAGGTTTCCAGCTGGCCGTCTTCCATAGGGCTGTGATGAGACATTCTTGAGTTTGGGCCAGGACTGGATTTCTCCTGGAACCTCTTCACACCCATTAGGGTTAATCCACCCCTCCTCTTCGGAGGCTTGGTTTCCTGCCTAGCTCTGTTATCACGCTCAGGTAGAATTCCTGGGCCAGGGAAACTGGGGTGGAGTAGGGGTGCAGGTGACTATTTAGTTTCCTTGTCTTTGCCCAGGCTGTGACCCATCCCTAGAAAGCATCACAGAATGACTTTTGTTAAGGCTGACTCAAGTTAGGTGCCACATTCCATACTCGGACTGTCTCCCCAGAAATTGCCTCTTACCTACTTTTTATAGATTTTTATATCAAATGTTCTATGAATATGCAGTTTAGTACCAATAGAATAGATGCTCCTTGAAGGCAGACCTGCTTTGGAGGGCCTCTGTATTCACAATGCCTAGCACAATGCTTGACACAAAGTAGATGAGAAGATGGGACTCATTGGAAAAGACCCTGATGTTAGGAAAGATTGAAGGCAAAGGGAAAAGGGGATGGCAGAGGATGAAATGGATAGATAGTGTCATGGAAGCAATGAACATGAGCTCAGACAGACTTCGGAAGACAGCGAAGGATAGAAGGGCTTGGCGTGCTGTGATCCATGGGGTCACAAAGAGCGCGGTAGGACTGAACGAATGAAGAACAATAACAACAAAATGTTGGTTGAATTCAGCTTCAATTGTTCCGCCCAGTCTTCACAAAACAGGAAATGTCAGAGCCAGGTGGGACTTTAGAGCACAGGCTGTGAGAATTGGAGGAGACCTTAGAACATAAAATGCTAGAACTGGGAGGAGTATAGACCAGAGAAAGTCAGGGTGGGAGGAACCAAAGAAGACAGATGGGAAGAACTGAAGGGAAATGCTAAAAAAGAGAATGTCAGAGCTCTGAGGAACTTCAGGACATAGAATATAAGAACTGGAAGGAGCCTTACAAGACAGAATTTAGAACTGACAAGGGCCGGTAGGGTTGAGAGGGACTTTTGATTAGAGACCGTCACAGCTGGAAGACATCTGAGGGCAGGAGAATATGGGAACTGAGAGAACTTTAAAATGGAGAATATTAGAGCTGGGATGAAATCTTGGAATATAAAACTTCAGAGCTGGAAGGGACCTTAGGAGGGAGCACATTCCAGAGATGCTGCAAAGATGAAAAGGGCAAGACTTGAAAACAGGTTGGATAGGGGGAAGGAGGGAGATTTTGATGAGAGATAGTGAGGAGTCCAGGATAACTATTTAGGTTAGGAGCCTCAGGAACTGGGAGGAGGGTGGGGCCCTTTACAGTAATAGGGAAGGTAGGAGGCAGGGAAGGTTTAAGGGGGAACATATATAATGAGCTCCATTTTGGACAAATTGAGTCTAAGATATCCTGTTGTTCAGTCGAGTCTGACTCTTCCTTTTCCAGCTCATTTTACAGATGAGGAAACTGAGACAAACAGGATCAAGTGACTTCTCCAGGGTCACACAGCTAGGATGTATCTGAGCGAGATTTGAACTCACAAAAAGTCTTCACAACTTCAGTCCTGGGTGCTCTATCCACTGCGCCACCTAGTGCCCCTCAAGATGTCTACTGGATAGCTAATTCAAGATGTCTACTGGATAGCTAATTCAAGATGTCTGAAAGGCTGTTGGAGATGCAAGATTGGGGAACAGCAGAGAGGCTGGGGCAGGATTGGTAGACTTTTTTAATCATCAGCACAGAGACGGTAACGAAATCTAAGAGAGCTGATGAGTTCACCAGGTGAAGTAAGTAAGAGGGAGAAGGCCGGGACCAGACAGTGGGGGATGCAGGAGATACAGGAGCAGAGACTGCTGAGACTGGAAGTGACCTCAGAGGTCATGTGGAAGAGAGGACCTTGAGACCTAGGAAAGGGAAGTGAATTGTTGAAGGTCACACCATTAGGAGCGTAGCTTTGTTGTCCACGGCTCTCATTTTTCAGACAATTGAAGCCCGAGGAGGGGCAGTGACTTGGTCAAGGTCACACAGGGGAATACAGATGTAGAGCTGGAACAGACCTCAGAGGGCAGCTAGGCCAACTACCACACAGGAGCAAATTGAGGCCTAGGGAAGGGCAGTGATTGACCAAGGACTCTCAAGTAGGCAGGTATGGAGGCCTAGATTTCCCAGGGGAGCAGTTCGAGAGGCTCCAAGCGTCCTCCTCTACCCGCTACACCCTCTCAGCCCAGAATCCGCAATGCGCGGGCCCGGCGCGGGCACCCTGTGCTGGGCCCGCTGCTTCGCCACTCGCTCCCGCGGCGCCTCGCGGGCGCGCGTCCCCGCCCCTCCCTAGCCCTGTAGCCCCAGGCAGCTGCCCTCGGGCCTCGGGAGCGGCGCACGGCCCGGAGGGGGCGTGGCTTCAGCTCTTGTGCTGTCATTGGTGGCGGCGCCTTCGCTGGCGGACGCGAATACGGCGGCGGCGGCGGCGAAGGCGGGGCTCGTCGCTAGAGCTGGGGCAGGCCTCGTCGCAGGAGCAGGGGCAGGGCTCGTCGCAGGAGCCGAGGCCGGGCGCTTCGCCGGAGCCGAGGCCGGGCTCGTCGCAGAAGCAGAGGCGGGGCATGCGGAGGCGGATGCTCCTGCGAGTGCGGCGGGGGCGTGGGCGGCGACGACGACGACGGGGCGGAGTCAGGCCGGAGCCCGCGCTGCCCTGGACGGAGCGCGGCATCGTTCCGCCCTGGGTGAACCGACTGCTGACAGCCAGTGCCCTGGCGAGCATGCAAGATCAGGACGAGGGGCCCGTGCGTGCCCCAGCACCAGCGCCCTTCGGAGCGATCTGGCAGCGGAAAAGGAAATCTGAAGCAATGCCGCAACCCCAAGAACCCAAGGTGGAAGCCGTGCAGGTGGCCAGCCAAAGCGTGGTGGCTTGGCGCAGTAAGGCCGAGTGGGAGCAGGTCATGGTCTACCTCTTCTGCTCGGACCCCGAGCTGCAGCGACATGCGCTCAACCGAGTATCGGCTTGGAAAAGCAGGTGAGCGGCGGGGGGGGGGCGCGCCCCGGGCCGATCGGCCGGCTGGCTGGCGCTAGGGAGTCAAGCAGGCAGACAGGCGGGGAGGGAGGGAGGGAGGGAGGAAGAAGAAGGGAGCAGCCCGAAAGGGACTGCGGGGCAAGGCAGGGCGCCAGAGGGCTGGGTGGACGTGATATGGGCGGGCGTCCGCTGTGGGACCTTGATTTTCCCCCCCACCGGGTCGGGGCGTCTCCCCCAGACCCGAACTCCCAAAGAGGAGACAAAGGAACCACCCCCCGACGTCTAGGACAGAAGGGCTCCCTAAATCTCTTGTTGGTCCCTGCCCCAGGGCTCTACTTGTTCTTTGTTAGACTTAGCCCAAGTAATGAAAGGGCTTGCCAGCGTCCCCAATACGCATTGTACCCCGCATCCTTCCAGGAGCAGCCTTCTGTATCATATCTCCCTTCCCCCCCACCCCCCTAAATGAGCTACTCTATCCTTCACTTTGGTCTTGCCCCCCCCCGCCCCAATCCTGGCCCAGACCCCCAAAATGGGGACAAAAGAGCCCCCACCCACCCACCAAGATTGTGGGGGTGAATGGCCCCATAAATCTCTGATTGTCGCCTGCTCAGGGCCCCGCCCCCTTCTTTGTCCCACCCAGCCCATATTGTGAATGCGGGAATCTGCAATGCGGCAATAGTACCCCGCATGCTCCAGAAGCAACCGAATATGTCATCCTTGCCCAGATTCCCCACCCCCACTCCTATCTGAGCTATTCCCCCCTCCCAACTTATCTTCCTCCTCCCTCCTCCCACCTGGGCTTTGGCTTGAACCCCCCCAAGCAGAGACAAAGGAGCCCCCCCCCAACACCCAGGAAAGAAGGGTGGGTGTGAATGTCTTCTTATCTCTCATTGGTCACTGCCTGAAGTCCCACCCCCATCTTTGTCCCACCCGGGTCCATCTTATACTTGGGCTCTGCTAGCCTCTGCAATGCGGCAATGCCGAAATGAACATTGTACCTACCCCGCATGCTCCAAAAGCAGCTCTGTGTCATCCCCACCCAAGCCCCGCCCCCTTCCATCTGAGCTACTCCCCCCTCCCCACTGACTTTCCTTTCGTCCTCCCTTCTCCCACCTGTGCGGGTGCCTTGCCTCCCGACCTCAACACCCAAAGCAGAGACAAAGGAAGCCTCCCGTAACAAAGGCTATGGGAGACGTTGAAGGACTCCCTAAATCTGGGTTTGAACCCTGCCCGATGGTCCGCCCCTTTCTTTGTCCCACCCGGCCCATATTATAAATGGGCACTGCCAGCATCTGCAGTGCCGCAATGCGCATTGTACCCCGCATGCTCCAAAAGCAACTTTATGTCATCCCTGCCCAACCCCTCCCCCCTCCTCCATCTGAGCTACTCCCTCCTCCCAGCTGGGTCTTAGCCTTTCCCTTAGACTGCAGTCTAAAGCTGAACCCCCAAATTGGAGACAAAGAAGCCCCCCACCCCACAACAGGAGGGGAGGGTTTGAATGGTTCCTTAAATCCCTGATTGGTCCTTGCCCGTGGGCCCGCCCCCATCTTGCTCTTATCCAACCCATAATAGAAATGGGCCCTGCCAGCCTCCGCAATGCGGCAGTGGGCAATGCGCACTGCCCCACCCCCATCCTCCCTAAAGCAACCTGTGCAATGTCCGCCCGAGTCCCCCACCCCTCAATGTGAGCTGTTTCCCACCTACCCCTGGCTAGAATTAAGCAATAAATACTATGCTGTTCTAGAGCCATAGCTGGTGGAAGGAGTCTTGGAAGCCAGCAAGTCAACCTCCCTCGTTTTACCAAAGAGGGGAAAACAAGTCTAGGGAGGGGGAGGGAGTTGCCCTAGGGTTACACACAGCATCCTAGCTATAGAGCTGAAAGAGACCCAGAGTCCAACCCCCTCTCCTCCTCCAGTTTTACAGTTCTGGAAACTGAAGCCACAAAGAGGTAAATTGGTCACAGGTCACACATAGGACTTGGAGCTGGAAGAAACCTCAGAAGCCATCGAGTCAATCAGTCAATCAATCAATAAACATTTATTAAGCATTAAGCTCCTGCTCTGTGCCAGGTACTGTGATAAGCTATAGATAGGAAGATACAGATAAGAACAAAGCCAGCCCTTTCCTAGGGAAAGCCAGTACACCAACAGGAAGCTGAAGGAGGGTGGAGAGGGCCAGCAAAATCCCAAAGCAGTGGAGCCAGGGAGGGGGAAACTGAGGCCTGAAGTGGATAATTGACTTGCCCAGGGTCAGTCACACAAATAACAGGAAACAAAGGATGGCATTTGAACCCATGTCTCTTCCTCCAAATTTTGTGTACCATACTTCCTTTCTCTTAAGGCCAGACACTGTGCAAAGACAAAAGCAAAACAGACCCTTAACTCCAATAGCTGACATTCTGTCTGGGGAGGCAGCAGATTCCCATAATTATCTATCCTAGAAGTCTTAGTGCAGTTGTAAGCCATCTAAGCTCACAACTGCACTAAGATATACAAACAATAGCTCACATTTTTGTAGTTTATGGAGCTCTTTACAAGCATCTCAATAAAGGCTAGGGATGGGGAAACTGAGGTTCAGAGGGACTGAGTGACTTTGCAAGGATCAGGCAGCTAGAAAGTATCAGAGGCAGAATGGAACCCTGACTCAAGGGCCAGCTCTGCTGCCCAGCACACCATTAACAGCTGGAAAAGCAGCTGGGGATTGTACAAAGTGGAGGTGAAGAGGAAGGGCTCTCCAGCCATGGTGAAAGCTTCTATATAAAGGTACGTACACAGTACAGTGTCGAGAGACCTGGTTTCAAGTCGCACTTCTGATGATTATAACAGGTGTGACCTTGGTCACTAAGCATTCCTAGGCCTTATTCTTTACCCCCCCCCCAAAAAAAATGAAAGGTTGGGAAGTGGTCCTACCTGAATCCCACTTACCCATCTGGTGTGAGAAATGGTACCTTCTAATCACCTGAGTATTCAAAAAGATTTCCTAGCCCCCTAAAAAAGATTCCCCCCCAAAAAAAATAAAAAGTTTGGTAAATGGTCCTACCTGAATCCCACTCACCCATGTGGTATGAGAAATGGTGCCTTCTGATCACCCAAGTATTCAGAAAAATTTCCTAGCCTAGGTGATAAGGAAAGGCAAGGATTTTAGCAGCTTCCATTCTCTGGAGGGTCATGGGCATGGGGAAAACGGTACAATGAAAAGAGAGTGGCTCCCCCCCACCTCTGACATTTACTCACTAGCTGTGTAGCCCTTGGCTTATAAGAGTCACGTCTCTCATCCTCAGTTTCCCTCTCTGGCCTTTGAGATCCTTTCAAGTGTCAGAACTCTGATCTCAGTGGCCAGAGACCCATTGTAATGGCCGAGTGTAGGGTACAGTGGTGCCATTGAGGTGTCATTGACTAGGGTGGTAGAATGGAGGTTTGGGGCCAGTTTTCCCGGGGAGCAGCCTTCAGAGAAGTCCTTGAGGACAGGCTGAGCTGGTTGGAACCTTAGAAATGGCATGGGGCCAGCCCCCTTGATTTGCAAAGCAGGAGTGCCTAGGAGTAGAATTGATAGAGAAGCAGTTAAAATGGCTGGGGGGGGGGGGCTCGGGAGTGAATACAAAGGAAGCCATCCTTCCCGGTGCCCGTCTGCAGAGGCCCCCTCCCTTCTCCCTCCTTTACCCCCGAGTTCATTCTTTCTGTGCTAATCCCTGGTCTGCAGTGAGGTCTCTAAGCAACCAAGGGTTGCTAGGCAACCAAGCATCACTGCCTTGGTCACATCTCAGCTCTCTGGCTCCCCTTCTGGAGAGCAGGGGCAATTACCTCTGTTCCCGTTGAAGGGGATTTAGATGTTCCCAGGGAGGGGGAGGGGGCACAATGAGTTTTGTCTGTGTCATAAAAGCCACTCTAATTGAGTCTTTTCTCTTCAGATGCAGCAACAACCTCCCCCTGGCCGTGGCCTGCACAACAGATCTGGTGCTTTGCAAGCTCCTGGATGGAACTTCTGCCTTGGGCACTCAGGAGCTCGTGCTCCTCTATGGGATGGCCTTGGTCAGGTGAGGGGGGGGGACTTCCACAGAGGGCCTCTGGAATAGCAGGGACTGGGGAGAGGCAGGCTTACCTTGAGGCTTGGAAGCCCCAGCTGCTTCGTGCATGCGTGGCCTTGGCCAAGTCACTTCCCCTCCAATACACCATCATCCTCTCTCATTCATCTTTAGTGGCTGACAAATATGGGCAGGCCCCCCAACAAACCCTCCCTCACTTGATTCCATATAAGCTGCCATTCTTTTCACTATCAAACTCCCAGAAAATCTAGCCACATGTCTCTCATTCTTCACCCCTTTGCAATGTGACTAGATCTCATTCCCCAAGTGAAGCTACTCTCCAAAGTACCCACTGGTCTCCTCATTGGCAAACTCGACACCTTTTATCAGGTCACATCCTTGGTGCTGGGCACCCTTGGACTGGCCAGCCTGCCACTTCTTTCTCCTGGGTGCTCTTCTCTGGCTTAGCAGGGCCCATCCTCCCCCCCCCCCCAAGCAGGCTCTGCCTTTTCAGGTTCCTTTGCTGGAGCCTCCCCCATATCACTTCTAACTGTGTCTGTCCTGCAAGGCCCTCTTAGCTCCCAGTGCATCTCTGGACCCAACCTGTCTCTGGGCTGCTCTAGCTCCATCTCCAGCTTCCCTCTGACCTGCTACCCTCTCTGCACCTTCACCCCGGTCCACACTTCCCTTTTTTTGTCCAGGACACCGATCACTCAGCTTTGCAATCATTGAGTCATTCTCAACTCTTTCCTCCCTTCCCCCCCATAGTTTGGCCCCTCATCATCTCCCCCCTGAGTTATTGCAGGAGCCTCATAAATGGTCTGGCCCCTCCCCGGGCCATCTTCCACATAGCAGCTGGAATGATTTGACTAAATCAGAGGTCTAATCATGGCATCCTCTCTCCCACCCCCAGGTTTGTGAATCTTATCACTGAGCCCAAGCAGAAGATCATCAATATTCCTCTGAGACGCCTGGCCCATGAGGTATGTGCCATGCCACGAACCCACCACGATACTTACATCTCTCCAGGGGCAGGGCTGATGGGGGGGGGGAGTGTCTGAGAAACCAAGAACAGGAAGGTTGGAAGGGTCACAGAGGGCTACTAATTTAACCCCCTACCTAGAGCAAGAGTCTCTTCTATAACCTCCTTCATGTGGATAAGATCATCCAGTATCCAGTCACTTTTTGAAGCCTTCCAGAGATGGAGAGCTCACTCCCTTTAGAGTCAAGAATAGTTCTTACTGCTTGGGAGTTTATCCTTATGATGAACCAAAACCTACCTCCCCATTACCTGCATTGCCTGCCCTCCCCAATCCCACTGTTCTGGGTTCAAGAATCCAAGAATACTTGGGAAGATTATAAATCACTCCTGGCCAACTATGTAAACAAGCCTAGTGAGGACCAGGAGTCCCAGCTTGCAGGGTAACCATCTCACACGCTCTGTTGTAGTGTTCTTGGCACAGTAGAAATGAGGCTGCTTTTTCTTGGTTTCAAAGAGAAGAGGAAGGCAAGGCCCCAGAAGGTGCCACGTCCATGTACTGTATTTCACACAGTAGTGTGTAAACAGATGGGCAGTGCCTCCTGCTGGGCCTGGGCAGGCAGCTCTTTTCAGGGAAGCTACCCAAAATAGGGTCTCCTTGGGAGGAAGCCAAGGTTCTTGGTAAGGGAAGGTGCTCCAGACCCATCTGGGGCTTTGTCCCCCTCCCCTCCATCCTGTGTCTCTTCTCTTCCTCTTGCTGTCCCCTCCACCACCTCTTTCCCCCATCCCTCTCCTTCCCTGGCCTTCTCTCTCCCATCTCTTCTTCTTTTCTCTCCCCACCACAGATGCACATCCCAGAGTGGGTTGTGAACCTTCGCCACAATCTGACTCACAGGAATCTGCCTAGACTAAGTACCTGCAGAAGAGGTAATGTTTCCCCGTTTGGAGGTGGGGCTGGCCTTGGGGGGGCTTTAGGACAAGGGGTAGGGTGCTCATTTCTGGAGAAGAGAAAACATCAAGACTTCCTTGTGGGAATAAGGCCGAGGAGAACTTGATGACTGGCCGGGCCTCATGAGCCTCTCGTCCTGTTTCCCATAGGCTGTGAATTCGTCTTGGAATGGCTCCGTCGGACGTATTGGTGCCGCCAGCTGGGGAATAACTTGGGTGAGCCCTGGGATACAGGGGTGCGTATCCGCGAGATAGAGATGGGGAAGGATGAAGGTGGAGTTGTGTTGGAGGAGGTGGAAGAAGTGGAGGAATTGGAAGAGGAGGAAGAGCCAGAAATGCAGCCTCCCCAGGAGGAGCCGCTTTCTGAAGAGGCCCAAAAAGAAAAAGACCTGCAAGGTATGGCTCATGGGGAGGAGGAGGCAGGCACTGGGCCAGGCCTGGTATACCACTGAAGTCATCAAACCAAGAACCTGTTGAAGCCCAGAGAGGGAAAGAGATTCGCCCAAGGTCACACAGCTAGTGACAGAATGAGGAGCCTTTAGTGTGAGCTCAAGCCAGACAGTCATCTAGAGCCTCTTCGTCGTGTTAAACAGGAGTGAGGACCACACATAGAACCAGCCCTGTAGGCACGGGCCCACTCAGGGCCCTCCAGGTAGTGAGGGAGCCCCCATGCTGCTAGGAGCAAGCCAAGGCCCTTTTTCTCCATAGCTAGGATTCTTTGCAGTGTGCTGAAACATATGTGCATACGTGCTTGTGTGTGTGTATGTCCATCTGAGGCAGGGAGGACCACCAAGCATAGGTCTAAAACACGTGGCCAAGGGCCCCTTCCATCATCTTTCCGTTTGGTGCCAAGGTGTCCAGAGCAGCTCTGGGCCACAAGTAGTGAGGCCTTTTGTCATTTTCCTTTCTTTAGAGAAAATCCGGAAACTGCTGGTGTCCTATGGGGAGCAACAGTTTAAGGTAAGTAAACTGGTGTTGCTGCATGTCGCCTCCCACCAGCTTCAGGGGAGGCGCTGTCCGGCAGCCCTTGGATTGAGCCAGCGCAGAGGAGGGAGCCAAGCAGAAGGATGGAGGAACCCGGTGCAGTCGGACCATTGCCAACACGCGAAAAGGGCTAGATGGGGCTGAGTCCCCCAGCTCCCAGCTCAGTCAGGGCAGACTCTGCTCTTGGGGTCACAGGGTCATGGGGGCTGGCCTCAGGGTGGCCGGGGAGTTGGTGTTAGTGCTGGAGGGCTATGAGCACACTGGGGTCCTTTGGGGTAACAGCTTCTCCCGCTGACTCCTGTACACGGATGAACACTAACTGCCTCTTTTCTCAAGGGGAGGGGTTCTGCCTATTTCCACCTTTCTCCCACTCTTTTTGCCTACCCAGAAGGCCTAACTAAAGCAGTGGGTGATGGGCCAAACTTGGCAGCTGGCCCTGAGCTCAGGCCAGAGCACTGGCAGTCAGGTGATGTCTAGTCCCCCAGGCACTGCATATCTCAAACACTTCCTGTGTGGTTTCTCCTTCCATGGTGGGGAGTGCTCAGACTGCCTTTGAGCTCTGGCCCATTGTTCAGGGCTCACCCACCATCTGGGGTTCACCAGCTGGGAGATCCCTGAGCCGGGCCCTGTCTGCCAACAGGTGCTCCGGCGTTCGAGGCAGCTGCCCAAGGCCGTGAAATTGTGGACCAAGTCCACCCGCGAGGTGGAACGATTGGTGGGCCGCCTGAAGAAGCTGTCCAAGGAAAACCGGTATGGGGGGGAGGCAGGGCTTTGGGTGCAAATCCTGCTGGCACTTCCTACCTATTTGACCTTCCCCTCCCTGGGCCTGTTTCCTTATCAGTAAATTGAAGGGGTTAAAGCCTTGACACTCAATAGCAGAGTGATCTTAGGCAAATGGCTTGACCTCCCTGAGGTTCAGTTTCTTTCTTTGTAACTGGCGGTGAGGAAACTCATTCCAGAGGCCAGTGGGCGCCACCCTTCCCCCTTGGGCTCAGGGACCCTGCCAGCTGTAGGAGTCGGACACAGAGTGGAGAACAAGATCAAGAAGAATCACAGGGCACCGGCCCTGAAGTCAGGAGGACCTGAGTTCAAATCCGGCCTCAGACCAAACACTTGACACTTACTAGCTGTGTGACCCTGGGCAAGTCACTTAACCCCAATTGCCTTTAAAAAAAAAAAGACGAAGAAGAATCACAGGGTTCAAGAAGGGCCCTCCCAAGGCTGTCAAGTCCATTGACCTCCTTTTACAGAGGGGAAAACTTGAGGCTCAGGAGTTGGGTAGGACAGGGGGCAATGCAATTGAATAGGACAAGAGGAATCAAGAAGCTGTGTAGCCTAGGGCTACTGCCTCCCCCTCTCTGGGCCATGCGAGTTGTCTCTTTTCTCCTTCATGGATTTGTGTGAATATCGCCTCTCTCAGGGCACTCTCATGTCAGTCTATCCCCTTGCCCACCGAGTCCCTTGTTTTAGGCTGTCCCTTCCCAGACATCGAGGCTGGCCCCCTTCTAACCGAACCAACAGGGTTGCAAAGAGCTCCTCAGCCTGCTTCCTCGTCCCCGAGGTTAGCAAGCCTGGCATGTTTTCCTGTTGCAGAAATTACGTGGTGGACACCCTGCTTGATGAAGGCTTCCTCATCCCTACTATTGAGCAGCTGGAAGCTCTGAAGATCCAACCAACAGGTGCGGGCTTGTGAGCGCCCTCTCCTGGGCAGATGTGGCTAGGCTCCTTGCGCATGCATGCCCCACCCCCCAGCCTTGGTCAGTGCCTGCTGCCTGGGTACCTGTGTTACACACACACACACACACACACACACACACACACACACACACACACACACACACACACACACACCCTCTCTACACAGGATCTAATTGGAAGGGAGTTCTCTTTGTGCCAAAGAGGTGGCTGAGGGCTGGAGAGGGGAGCTGCCTTGGCCCAAGGGCCATGGTGTTGGGCTTTGCCGGGGCCAGTGGGCCTTGTGCTCCAGGTGCTGAGCTGCCCTTTGTTTCTCTTGTTCTGCTTTGCATCCCTTAGAAGTCCTGAATCTGGTGAACCTTCTGATGCCGAGGTCCTTCTCGCACTTCTGGCAGCCCCTCATTAAGGGCCTGCAGACTCACCCATTCATCCAGGATCTGCTGGAGAAGATGCTCAGAACCCTACCTGATTGTGGGGACACAGGGATCCGTCCAGCCTATCTCATCAGCTGGATCAACGAGCTTGTGGTGGTCTATACCCCTGCTGGTGAGGGCCAGAGGCTAGCCCTGGCTGCCTCTTCTCTGCTCTCTCCCCTTTTGCCTCCTTCCACTTCATGCCAGCTGCCCTGCTTTCTAAGTGGATGCCACGGGGCATGGCGTGGAGAACATCTCCCCTCTGACCCCTGAACTCAGCCTCCCCTAGAGGGGACAGGCAGTATCTCCCTCCCCCCAACCCAACATGGTTGAATTCCCTTAAATACACATCTACTGAGGTTTGCACTGGGGAAGTTGCTGAGTGTAGGTAGGAACCCTCAGGAAGGAAGGGCACAGTCTGGTGAGGAATGAGACCCAGATATGACTAAGGCTAAAATGGAGGTTAAATGGTAAATGGAGAAGCAGGCAGATGTGGGGGGCAGCCTTTGCCCTGCTGTGGCTGTGTGGTGCTGAGTAAGCCTCTCTGAGCTTTTCCTCTGATGAAAGTATGTCCCAGAGTACATTAAGAGGAAATTGCTAAGTGCCATGCGAGATCTAGATGGGAAAGTCATTGGTGACTGAGGGGTCCCCATCTTAGCCTCAAGTTGTTTTACCCGCTCAGGGCTGTTCCCCCAGAGAGAAAGGCTTTGAGGCTAAGGATTCTGGGGTTTGTCCTGCAAGCCTGAGGTGGCAGGGGGAGGCGCCTTGGACAGCAGGGTGGGCTGGGCACCAGGATCTCTCTCTCTCTCCTCAGGACCCTGCCAGAAGCGCCTCACCTCTAGTCAGAGGTCTGTCCGCAAGAGCTGGAAGATGGGACCTCGCAAATTCTCCTTGAACTGGTCCCAGCTGCTTGATGTCTGCCTGGATGCCACCTGCTGGGCCAGTCCTCACCTTCTCCAACTGTAAGCCCGAAATGGGATCAGCTACACTTGGCTCGGGTTGGCCATTGGGAGGGCTCTGGCTCACTTCTCCCATAGAGGGCTGAGATGGGGAGGCTACGGGTTGGCCACTCCCTGAGTCTCTTTGTCTTCCCCCCCAACCTTCTGCCCAGGGTCCTAAAGGCCATGGAGCCCCAGCTACCCCTGGACTCGCAGGAGAAGCTCATGTGTCTCTGCACCATCTACACCCAGGGCGGGAATCCTGTCCCTAGCGTGAGGCCCTGGGAAGGGACTAGCTCCCTGCACAGGCCCATCTATACCCTGGAGAGCCTTCAGTGGCAGGTGAAGCGGGCTCTCATGATGGAGAAGAGGAAGAATCGCCAGCCCGGGGAAGAGGAGGAAGAGGAGGAGGAGGAAGAAGAGGAGGAAGAAGAGACTGAGTCTGAAGAGTCCTCTGAACCCGAAGTGATGGAAGTGGATGCAGAGCCAGTGAAGGAGGCTGTGCTGAAGGAGACTCCGGAGATGCTCGCTGAAAAGCAGGCCGGCTTGGAGGGCTCCCCCTGGCAGCTGTGCTTAGGTAAGGGGCCCAGGCGACACCCTGGGGAAAGGCCCCCTGGAGGACTGAGATTGAGCTGGGCCCCTCAGCTGACGGGGGGGACGGAACACCTCTGTCTGTGTCAGAAGCAGGATTTGAACCCGGGTCTTCTTTTTGCAACATACTATTGTGGCCCAAGTTACCCTGGGAGACCCCAGAGGAGGGTTGGCAGCTCCTGGAAAGCTGAAGGAGGCGATGTCACTCACCCCTCTTCCTCCCCCATCCCAGACGCACAGCTGCAACCACATTCATGTTCCTGGGCCCCGGTCGTCGGCACACTTGGGGCCCAGGAAGTGCTGGGTCAGACACTAGAGGGGTGCTGCTCTCAGCTCCCCAGGCACTTGTTTCTGGGTGGGCCCTCAGGGCTGCTGGGGTGGGGAGGGGGCGGAGCAGGGCTGGGGAAAGGGCTTCTGGGGGGGTTGATGGCCAGCCAGCCAGTGGTAGCTGCTGGCCTCGAGAGAGACCAGGTGAGACCTTCCTGAGCCTGAGATGAGCCAGAAAGACAGAGATGGGGGAGGGGGCAGGAAATGACACCGTGAGACTGCATAGCCTTTCCGCACTTTGCTCTGGCCAAGGTTCTTCTGTAAAATCTGTAAAATGGAGGGATTGGCTGCCAAGTTCCTTCCTAGCGCGAGCTCTCCAATCCCTCTCATCCAGATGACATAAACTGGAGCGAATTGCCCCTGGGTAAGGTTCCGGGCCAGACTGACGACCCTGACGAGCTGATGGTGGAGAACTACACCCTGATCTCTGTCCTGGACCAGCCTGTGATCCATGAACTGGATGATGAGCCGCATTCATCCACATTTGGGTGAGTATCTCTGCCCCGCCCTGCTGCCTCTTGTGGTGGGCACAGCCAGCTAGCTGCTCTGATAGACAGGGAGCCATCCTCCTCCCCTTGGAAAAATCCCATGGGAAACTGAGCCTCCCCTGCCCCCAGCCCCCCACCCCCCCCCACCACCAAGGCCTCAAGATGCCTCAGGCATCCAGGAGCTGGGGCCACAGCCTGGCCTGCAGGGGAGGAGGAGGAGGAGCTAAAGTCAGGCCGGCCTTGCTGAGGCCTACCTGGATGGTAGCTTCTTGCTACTGCTCTCCCTTGGTGTGGGCCCTTCCAGCTCCAAGGCTTAGGATTTTATTTTTTTATGTTCTGTTGGCACTTTTTGTTCTGATACCACAGACATTTCTCAGCGCATCCTTCCTCCTCCCCACGACACCCCCTCCCCCTGCCCCATCTCCACTGAAGAAAGAAAAACAGTTAAGACAGACAAATTGACCTAGCAGCTGAGTCTGCCAGCATGTGCCACATTCCTTACCCATAGCCCCCCGCCTCTACTGAGAAGAGGGAAGTGTGTTTTGTTATTTGTTCTCTTTGACCATGATTGTTCATGACAGGCGGTCAGAGCTTGGCCACCTGCTAGCGCTTTGATTGACCTGGTTGGAGGCAGAGTCATTGTGGCATAAGAGAGCCGGAAGCCCTGGGTTCAAGTCTCACCTCCTGACACATCCTGGCTGTGAGCAAGTCACTTAACCTCTCGGTAGCTCTGTCGGAGGCTAAGTTGCAGAGTAGATGCCAACTTGCATTGGTGGAGGGAGCTTCCCAGGTCTAGTCCGAGGCCCTAGTGCTATTTTGTTTATTGTTTTGATCATCTCCCCACTCGGGCTTTCTTCTCTGTGCGTCAGCTCAGATAAGTCTTCCCAGAGTCCTCTGCTATTTGTCGTCTGTTAGGACCTGGCCTTGGGTCACGTGGTCAGTAGCACAATTAGCAGACTGGGCAGCTAGGCTCTGCCTGAAAGCCTCTGAAGAGGTGCTAGCTAGCCAGCCCACTGGTTCCTGAGACATCTCAGGCCACTTTGGGACGGCTTTAATTGGGTTGGGTCCGGCCCTCACTCCACCTCACCCTAAGCTTGAAGCGTCTGTTCTCTCCCCAGTTCCCTGGACCTGAGAATCCCCAACATGGAAGGCCCACTGTGGACCCAGAATGAGCTACATAGCCTCAAAGGCAACATCCAGTTGTTCTAACCTCAGGGTGGGAAGGGCGCCCCTCCCCCTCTGTGCAGACACTCCCCCTCCCCCACAAGCACTGGAAACCAAGGTGCCCACCTCAGTTGACTTTGATTAGTGTCGGTTGTATTTTTTTTGGAGAAAAAAAATAAACCCTACTTTCCTTGCTCTGCAACACAGGCCTGCTGGCCTGTGTTCCTCCCAGAGCTGGCCTGGGTTGGGGGCCTGAGAAGGACCCCTAGCCCAGGAATCCCCTCTGCAGCAGCGCCCCTGATAAGTAGTCATCCCACTTAGACTTGAAGGCTTCCCCTGCTGGGGCCCATGCCAGGCCTGGAGCCCAATTCTGCCTCTGCCGCTTGGCCAGTGCTCCTGGTCCTGCCCTCTGGGGCTGAGCAGACAGCTCGTCAGCATCTTGAGCATGCTCCCTGGATCCTTCTCCTTCCATTAAGGAAAGCCGTGGGCCCCTAGCATCTCCAGGCCTTTGCCACCTTGGACCCCACTACTAGATGCTGATGCCCCAGCAGGGCACCGCTAGTATAGCTGGCTTCCATCTCTTCTTCCTTTTCTCTGCTTCCCGGAGAAGGGCCTACTCTTGCCTACTACGCTGTCCAGCGCCAGCCAAGCAGAAGGGATCCCTTACTTAATGCTATAACTCTAACTTAGTGCTTTGTGCTGTGTACCCTCACACCAGCCTCCTCAGGAACAGTGCTGCAAAGGGGATTCCTAGGCCTCCCCCTCAAATGCTTTGCCCAGGACCTTGTAGGGTCTCCTGCTTCTGTCCCCAAGTTTAGATTCCCGAGTTAGAACCTAACCTGTACCTCACTAGCTATCCCTAAGGCTTGACTGCTACCCCTCCCCCCCTTCCCCAGTGCCGTTTTACCAGTAGATACCCTTCCTTTAGAGCCCCAAGTCATGGCATGCAGCTGGGGAGAAAAGTACACCCTTGTTCTCATTCAAGCTTCTGACCTGGTGAGAACAGGCCGGTGGATGAGGTGCCCCTGCCAGGATTTTTCTCTTATCGTTGGAACTTCTAGGGGCTCCTCAGATTCTCTCCTTTGTTCGCTTCCATTGAATAAAACTTAAATGTGACTGTGTGCTTGCAAGTGTGTGGTTACTGGGGGGTGGGGAACAATTGTTTGCCCAGGTTTCTTGGGTGGGGGCTCTGAGCTAAGAGAAGTGAGGAGAGCTGAGGAAATCTTGTGTCAGATTCACCAGACCCAGAAAAAGTAACACTGGGCTATTAAGCCTCCTTCTGCCGGCTCTGATACTTGTGTGTTCAGGGCACCTTCCCACCTCCGACTTTGTGTGCTAAAGTCTCTCCCAGCCCTGGCATTCTGCCTTCACTTTTTTTTCTTTTTTTTTTTCTTTTTTTTGGTGAGTATGAGGCAAGATTCCCAGCTAAGGTTGGAAATGCTTTTGGAGACTTGAGGGTTGAAAAGGTTTAAAATAGTTGGTGTATTGGCTTTTTAGGGAGGTGTAGAAGGATTGCCTTGCTGCAGTGAGGGCCCAGTTGAGATGATGTAACAGATTTGTGGATGACCCAGTCAACAGAGTTTTGTGATTTTCTCAGCAGCATGGGAATAAATGCAGAGTCGGCAGATGGTGGGAGTAATCCAAGTTTGGGTTTTGGCAAGACATCAGAGGTGGGACAAGAAACACCCCTTTCCACCATGCCGGTTCTCCAGTCAGAGGACGGAGAGGAGAAAAGCACTTCCATCGCCAACCAGTTTCCCGACCTTGGGGAATGGGGAGAAAACACCATTTCATCAACCCAGGTGTCCTGCCTCCCCGTGGAAGAGGATCCAGAAGATCCCGATGTCATCATTGAGTGCCACATTCCTCCTCCTCCTAGGGTGGAGGGCCAATCTATCCGTGTTCCAGTGATTGTGAACCCCCGGGAATCGTTCAAGCGTGCTCACTATCCGTTGTGTGCTCCCACATTCGTTTTCCCTCCAGTCCAATCTCACTCTGATGACTCACTCTAAAGCTGCCCAGCTTTAGAGAGCCCACTGTGCTCTCTGCAATGCCTGTTTGCTAGGTGGCAAACTTGCTTTTGTCAATCGCTTCCTTTTGTGCTCTTTCCATTTCCTGCCTCCTTCCCTGGCACTAGATGCACTTTCATCCCCCCAATTCACTGGTCGAGGCGGGGGAGTTGGGATACTCCTTGCTCCCCATGGCCGCTTCCAGACTCATTCTCTACCTCCATCGCTCAGTAACTTCCCCTCTGAATTTCATTCAGTCCATATCTCCCCAATCAGAATTCTGGTGTCTGTTGCCTACTGACCCCCAGGCCACTCTCCTTCATTCATGGATGAATTCAGGGCCTGGCTCCCAGTCTTCCTTCCTTCCCTGACTCCTGTCCTCATGCTAGGGGACTTCAGCATATACAGAGATGCTCCCCCAAACACCCTAATCTTCCAGTTCCTCACCTTATTTCCCATGGCCTGCTACTCCACCCCAACTCAGCTACACACACAGAGATGGCCATACCCTTGTTCTTGCCACCAGCCACAAATGCACCACTTCCATGATCATCAGCTCCGAAATTCCCTTACTGGCTCACTATCATCATTCCACCTCTTCCTCTGTTTTGTAACCCCACATCCTGTTCTTCATTCACAATGTGACCTTCAATCTCTCAACCCTGTCAGTTCTCTCCTAGGCCATCACCCCTGTACTCATTACACATCTCCCTTTCCCATCTCAACCGTTTGGTGAATCACTTCAACTCTATACTGCCCTCTTACCTTGAGTCCCTTGCCCCCTGATGGAACCAGTCTTGCCCCACCAAGCCTCAGCCTTGAATCACTCCCACCATCTGCTGCCTTCGCTCCTACAAACGTGCTGCTGAACAAAGGTGGAGAAAACTGTGCTGACTGGGTCCACTACAGATTTGTTACATGACCTCAACTGGGCCCTCACCGCTACAAGGCAATCCCCTCACACCTCCCTGATGGATTCACTGTCCCACTCTTCCACAGTGGCCATTCCAAATCTCCCACCCCTGACCTCCTATGGCTCCCCTTTCCCTCCCCCTCTCAGCTGAGAGCCTTGCCTCATATTTTACTGGAAAAATTGAGGCCATTTGCAGTGAGCTCCCTCTTCCCTCTTCCTTATCTGCTATCACTCAGATGCCTTCTGCCACTATCTTCTATTTCACTCATGTCTCACATCATGAGGTGGCCCTAATCTTTGCCAAAGCAAAGCCTTCTGTGTGCCCAAGTGATCCCATTGCATCCCATCTCCTCGATCATCCTCACTCTTATCATCAGTATCCCTGTCCACTGGCTCCTTCCCTACTACCTACAAACATACCCATGTCTCCCTCGTCCTCAAAAAAGCCCTCCCTTGATCCAACCATCCCTTGCTAGTTCTCATCCCACACCTCTCCTCCCCTTTGTGGTCAAACTCCCCGAGAAGGCTGTCTATAATAGGTGCCTCCACTTCCCTTCCCCTCACTCTTCTTAACTGTAGTCTGGTTTCTGACCTCATCACTTAACCAGAACTGCTCTCTCCAAAGTTACCAGTGATCTCTTAGCTGCCCAATCCAATGGCCTTTTCTCAATCCTCACTCTTCTTGCCCTCTCTGTAGTCTTTGATGCTGTTGATCACCCTTTTCTCTTTAATATTCTCTCCTCTCTAGGTTTTCAGGATACCACCTTCTCCTGGGTCTCATCCTACCTATACAACCATTCCTTCTGTCTCCTTTGCTGGATCTTTATCCAGGTTACTTACTTCTCCTCACTGTGGGTGTCCCCTAAAGCTCTGTCCTGGGCCCTCTTGTCCCGTTCTACAATTTTGCTGTAGGTGATCTTCTCCCAGCTCCCATGGATTCAGTTAGCATCTCTATGCTGATGATTCTCAAATCCCCTTATCCCAGCCTTAAACTCTGCTGACCTCCAGTCTCCCATCTCTACTTGCCTATTGGGCATCTGGAACTAGATTTCCCATAGACATTTTGAATTCAACATGTCCAAAACTGAACTCAGTGTCTTCCCTCTGCCTCTGCCCCTGCCCCAATCTCCCCTCTTCCTAAGTTCCCTGTTACTGTTGAGGGCACCACCATCCTCCCAGTCACAGCCCCAGTGTCATCCTCCAGATTCTCACTCTCACTCCTCCATTCCCGATCTCTCGTCATGGCCTCTCTATTATACCTTCGTCATATCTCCTGTATAGCCCCACTCCTCCCTTTTAGCCTCTGACACTGCCACTCCCCCTCCCCCCCGTAAAGGCCCTTATCACCTCCCACCTGGACTTTTGCAGTAGCTTGCTGGTTGATCTAGCCCCTGTGTTCCCCCGCTCCAGGCCGTCCTCAGCTGTCAAAGTGATTTTCCTAAAGCGTAGGCCTGGTCCCTTATGAGCGTCAAAGTGATTTTCTTGAAGTTGTAAGTCTGACCATGTCACCCCTTCCCTACTCAAACTCCTGGGGTTCCCTATCACTTCCAGGATCAGATATCAAATCCTCTGTTTGGTGTTAAAAGCCCTTTACAACCTGCCTGCCCCTCCCAAATCCCCCCAAGATTCAACACGAGTCACCCCAACCCCATCCCCCCAAGAAGCCGTTCCCAATCTCCCTTAATTCGGGTACCTTCCCATCTGTTGACTATCTCCTATAAAAGCCCTTTACTACCTGCCTGCCCCTCCCAAATCCCCCCAAGATTCAACACGAATCACCCCAACCCCATCTCCCCAAGAAGCCGTTCCCAATCTCCCTTAATTCAGGTACCTTCTCCTCTGTTGACTCTCCTATTTCTCTTGTATATAGCTTGTTTGTACGTAGTTGTATGTCGTCTTTATAGATTGTGAGCTCCTTGAGGGCAGGGTCTGCCTTTTACCCTTCTTTGTATCCTTAATGCTTAGCACAGTATTTAGCACATAGTGGGCGCTTAATAAATGTGTATTGACTGGCAGACCAGGGGGCGAGGGATTTGATTGCAAAGTCGAACCGGTTCACTATTGGCTCAAGATGGGGAGAGGAGGAGAGTGTAGCCAGTGCCTGGGGAAGAACTGAAAGCGAATGACAGAGACTGTAATCAGTAAAGAAATTTCATAGCTCCTGAACGTGAAAATGGGTGATGGCAAGATCAAAGGTATGACTGTTTCTGTTTGAGGGAGCATCCCCGTGTATGTTGGGGTACCCTCGTATGAGAGGCAGGGAGGAGAGAAAGGCTGGGAGCCAGGCCCTGAACTCATGCAGGAAGGAAGCAGAGTGGCCTGGAAGTGGGTAGATAACAGCTACCTGAACCTTGACCGGGTGAGAAATATGGATTCAAGTCCCGTTGGATCTGCATCAATGGACTTTCCACACTAGAAGTTCCACACTGATGAAATCACAGGTTCAGCCCCCCCTTTCCCCCAAAAAAAAACCCCCAACAACCAAAAACCATAGAAAGGTAAGATGCAATGAGAGGAGAGGAATTGGGGAGGACATCAGTAGGCAGCTAAAGAACATCCCTCTGATTGAGACTGACTACTAGTGTGACCTTGGGCATGTCAGAGGCGTCTTAGTGTAGTAGAGATGGCAGCAGGACCTAGAGTCAGAAATACTTGGGTTCAAATCCTCCCTTAGATCTTTACTGCCTGGGTAAATGACTCATCTTCCCTGCGCTTCAGCATCTATGAAACCAGAGGATTGGACTGAATGACCCCTGAGGGCCCTTCCAGCTGGAGCCCTGGGATCCCATGTACCCTGCTCCTGGGCACTTCCTTTGTACTCTGACCATCTTCTCATCAACTGCCTTGATCTCCACCCCCCACTAGAGACCCTTCCTTCCTAAGGTTTTCTCTTCTCCCTCTTGTTTCACTGGCTTCATTTGTTAATCCATTTCCCCCTCTCAAAAATGAAGGAGGTTAAACTTAATCACATCCAGCTCTACACCTAGGATTCTATAGATGACCTTGGGTCAGTCTTCCCCTCTCCTACCTCAGCCTTAGTTTCCTCTTCTTTAAAATGGAGTCAGACCAGCTGGCTTTTGAGTACTCTTCTATATCTAAAGCAAACCTCTGGAGTCAGTTTGTGAATTCTAAAGTGGTAAAAGAAGGGTGAGCTCCTACTGAGTGCCCACTAGGTGCCCACCAGGTACCCGGCTACACTATGGGGGCTCTCAGATATGAATTCTACACAGTCCTCATTCATGCAATCACCTTTCCCAGTTTTGTTCACCTTCTCCACTGGAATAGCCTTCCATGTATTTTCTGAATGCTAAGAATCCCTCTCTTTTTTACGGAAAAGGAAACTAAGTCAATTAAGTGATTTGCCCAAGGTCACACAGAGCTGGGATTCGAACCCAAGAGTTCTTACCCCAAGTCCAGCTCGATCCTGGGTAGGTGGAGGTTTCCCCCCACTGTGCTACCTCCTCTAAGGGCTTGCACTATGTCAGCCCCGGACCTAGCTCCACTGTGGGGAGAAGTCTTGTCTCCACCCGCCACCCCCCACCTCCCTCCTCCTTCCTGTTCTTCCATGGACGTGCAGGGAGAATTGGAGGATCCCCAGGGCTGACAAAAGCAGCCAGTTCGTGAGGCTTCTGCAGCTCCACCGTCTACGTGTCGGGGCCCAAAGGTTGCCATGGGAACACATCTCCAGGAAGAATGGAAGTCGGTTGGAAAAGATGTCTTGTATCCAAGGGCGACATGGCTGACATTGCTCCTCCCCGCCCCCACCCGCCCCGAAGCGCTAGGGAAACGCGAGAGGAGGCGTTTTTTTTCCCCAGTAGCGGAGAAGGGGAAGAATAACAAGGTTTGAGGGCACCCACACACACCCACACACACACCCACACACACACACACACACACACACACACACACACACACACACACACACACACACACACACACACTGGGACCCCTTGAGACCCAGGAGCTGGCTGGGCCAGGGTGCTAAGGAGAAGCGTAGAAAAAAAAAAGCCTATCTTTGGCCCCATCTGCTCTCTGGTTCTGACCAGTTAAGCCCATGAAGTCCTTCTCAGGATTAGGTTTTTAAATGCACAAAATCAAATGCATAATATTACAAAGGAAACCTATTATATTGAAAAATTATTCAAATATATTTTTTAAAAATCCAACCTCCCAGAACCCAGGTTAAGAATCCCTAGACTAGAGAATGTTAGCAATGTAGAATCTTAGCTCTAAAGCCATATAGGATTATAGGATTCAGCACTTGTGACCTTGGGCACAAATGATTTTCACTTTCTGAGCCTCAGTTTCCCCACTTGGAAAATGAGGGGGTTAAAGTAGATCAGTTCTTAACCTGGTGCCTGGGAACTTATTTTTTAAAAAAATACATTTTGACAACTCCTGGGATCTTTTGACCTTGGTTGGTCCTGTCAGGAAAGCTGAGTCCCCAAAACAACCGTACAAATTTTGCTCTAAAATGGGGGTTCTTCACATTTTTTGTGTTCTGGACCACTGGCAGTCTGGTGAAGGCTTCTCAGAATCCTGTGATAAAATAAAACACATGAGATTACAAAGGAAACCAATTATGTTAAAGTGCAGTGATGGGGAAAAAAAAAAGATTAACATTCAATGACCCCAAGTGAAGACCTCCCACTTTAATGAGATAGAAGGAAACATCTTTCCTCAATAGACCATAGAGGACTTTCTTAGCTCGCTAGCAAACATACTAATCTAATCTGAGTTGAATTACAAAGTACAAGGACCATTGGGAGGATCTGGGGGTCAACAATATACAAATCTATCAATAATGACCCCTATGTAATGAAAACAGAATCCTTAAGAAAACCTGAAACATATAAAGTGTACAATTATTCTGATAAAGAGAATCACCATGGATTGGCTCTCCCAGCTGGGCAAAGCTGGTCTATAAACATGAGGACTTTGCCAGGAGTGAGAGATAGTGAGAGAGAGAGAGAGAGAGAGAGAGAGAGAGAGAGAGAGAGAGAGAGAGAGAGAGAGAGAGAAGGGCAGCTAGGTGGCACAGTGGATAGAGTGCTGAGGACCTGAGTTCAAATGAGGCTTCAACACTTACTAGCTCTGTGACCCTGGGCAAGTCATTTCACCCTGTCTTGCCTCAGTTTCCTCATCTGTAAAATGAACTGGAGAAGGAAATGGCAAACCACTCCAGTATCTTTGCCAAGAGGGCCCCAAATGAGTCGCAAAGAGCTGGACAGGACGGAAAAAAGAATAAACAACAATAAGCAGAGAGAGAGGAGAAAAAAGGGAAGACATGAAAAAGAGGGCTGCCAAATTAGGCCTCTAACACTCAAGGCTTAGCTGTTAAGGCAGAGGAAATCCAGGACAGCAGCAAGCAAGGTTGAGAGGGATGGGGGCCCAGAATTCTCCTGGGCTTCCAGAGGGGAAAGGGAAGAAGGTGGTAACAGAGGTGTCAGGCTCCTGATCTCTCAATAGCCCAGAGTCAAGAGAGGAAAATGGGAACATGGCGGGAGAGGGCGGGGGTCAGAGTCACCAGAACCCTGCTTCCTCAGCAGCAGGCAGTAACATCATAGACCAGGGTAGGGAACCTGCAACCTCAAGGCCACGTGTAGCCC